TATAATTGGTTTTAATAATAATTTATAACGTAAAATAAAAATGAAATATTATATTTTTTTCTAAAATATTTTTTGAATATTACAGTTTATTCAAATAGTGCGTGGAATAAGTGTAATCAAAGTTTATTATCATGTAAGTGGTTTGATGACATGATAGATTAAACTTAAGTGATATCGAGGGACGTACGGAGATTAACTGTTATAACTTGTTCGAATGTTGTAAGATATGTGTACACTCAGATCATATGTAGAGAGATACTTTTTATTATATTTTCTTAAAATAAAAGTTGTATTTTTATATTTGGTTCGATGAAATTTTTGGATAAAATGACAATCGTATGATATAATAAGTATTATTAATAAATAACAATAGACGATTATTTGCTACTTCAAATTGATTTTTCGTCATTTTTAAATTCATGGCAAAGTATTTCCCTTACAATTAAGGTACGTGCAAATATCTATTTTTTATATAGAATTATTATAATACATTAATAATTTATGTTTTGTAGTATAAACATAATAATTTTATTTTAAATATTAATATGTAAATCGCTCAGAAAAAAATGATATGAGAATTATTATTGTAAATATTTCTTGCGAATAACAATAAGCCGATATTCATTATGTTATTAAAATTAAGTAACTTTGCACGAAGGAGACCATTGCTCTTGAATTCTATGACATACGGATTTTTTTATACATGTGCTGAATTTGCGCAACAAAGTTATAATAAAAAATTTAAGGTAACTTACAATTTTATTGATTAGAAAAAAAATAAACTATTGTTAATTATTTTTTATTTACTTATATTTTAGATTAATCAACCAGTGTCTACATATGATGTAGAATCACAGAATATTGATAAACCAATATTTTTATGGTTAAAAAAGTGCAATAATTTTTTAGGTTTACTAGATAACGAATCTTCAATTTTAACGGAAGAATATAATTGGCCGCGTCTTAAAAGATTCGCTATTTATGGTTTTTTTCTAGCAGGGCCATTGTTACATGGATGGTATATTTTATTTTAAGATTTATATAAAATAAAAATACGTATATATAAGATAATTACAGAACTATTTTTGGACAATTAGAAATTTTTGATGAATTAAAATGTTTTTAAGTTAAATTTAACATAAAAATTATAATTTATATAATTAAAAGTTATTTCCAAAAACAAAATCTTTATATAATCAGGTACAAATGGTTAGATACATTTTACAAAGGCAAATCTATAAAATTGGTTTTAACTAAAGTATTTGTTGATCAATTTATATTAACACCACCACTGGTCTGTTTATTCTTTATCAGTTAGTATATTTATTTCACATTATAGTATTTTATTTTTTTATACGATTGACGAATAACTTTCATCATTTATTATAGGTATGAGTTTAATGGAAAGTAAATCTGATATTTTAGAAGAATGTAAAACAAAGTTTGTTAAAACTTTTCAGGTAAGTTATTCAAATATAAAATACGTATGAAAATTATTTGTCTACCTAATCCGCTTTTCATTGTCAAAGTTATTTTATTTATTACTTTTCAGACGTCATGCCTATTTTGGATACCTGTACAATTTTTTAATTTTGTATTAATTCCCCCTACTCTACGTATCACATATGTTAGTATTGCAGCATTATGTTGGGTGAATATTCTTTGCTATATAAAAAATGTGCCTTTAGTTAAATTTAATGATAAATATTAAATTAAAAGTATATATTCTAGTATATATTTCTCTCTCTCTCTGTGTTTCTTTTTCTGAAGTTATTACTATTATTAAAAGTATGACAATATTTGTATCTTTGTTATCTCATTATTATTTATTTCCTTCGGTTAAAGAGCATAAGTAAATTATTTTTCATGTATCTACAAATAATATGACATGCTGCTATATTTTATTGTTTAACACTACAAAATAATTATGTATATATTGGCAGCCTTTATACATTATTATTATTATTATTATTTTTATTATTATCCATTATTATTACTATTATAATATTTAGTAGTAGTAGTAGTAGTAGTAGTGTAGTATTAATAGCAATTGTAGCAGTATAGTATAATTGTTATAATTATTATATCATTATTATCATATTATTACAACAAACTTTACAATAAGTCAGACATGACTATTTTAAATATAACTTTCCTTTTTATTATTTTATCATAAAAAATTTACAATGAAAATTTATAATTATTTTGACTGACTATTAAATTATAAACTTATGTGATATCGGCATTTTAGTATAAAAGAAAATTTCACATAAAAAAAATAATGTGACAAATGAAAACACTGTGATGTAATAATTAATAAAACGTCAAAAGTTTTGTATGTAATTTGTAAAATGTTGACTCAAGTACTGATGTCTTATAAAACAAAAATATATATAATACTTTATTAAACAAATATCATCAAATTTACGACGACTCATAGTATAAACACGATAAAATTCTGCATGTAAGATATAGTTTTCGTAAAACAATAGGTATAGTCACTTTGGTAGCACCATTAACAAAATGAATGAAGCTACAATAAAATGTGTCTACTGTCATAAAGAATCCTTCAATATCACACTCTTGATGAAATTAACAAAGATTTACTCAAATTTGATAAAATGAGTAAATAAGTTTGTTATTTGAAATACTATAATATTAAATTAACAACCCTGTATGTATGTGCAGACATATGTCATATAAAATAAAAATAATGATCTTATTCTTTTTTTTAAGTTTCTATTTACAAATCTTGACTATAATCATTTACGTATTTATAAAAGAGTAAAGACTAATAGTATTACGTAGATAAAATTAAAATCTATTTCGAATAAGTATATAAAGTTAATTGTAAAAACAATTTGTATTGTTGTTAAATTTAATTTGGAAAATATTTCTTTTTCTTTCCTCTTGTTTTTAATGTATATTTAGAAGAAACAAAAGTTGCGTGTAGTAATTTATTAATCTAAAGCATTTATACCAAAATATATAAATCGTGTATTAATACATTTATATATTTTCTCAGGTATAATATAATGGAATATCACAAAGATACTATTGCCAAGTAAAAGTTTTTCTTTACTATATATGTATAATACTGTCTGTTACTTTTTGACAGTACATCACAAATATTGTCAGATAAAAACTTGTTTTCAGAAAAACAATTGTTCCTATATTATATTTGCATTAAATTCCATTGACCAGTCTTATGTATACGATGAAAGCAACGTAGCGTGCAATGATATATAAATATATGTGATTCAACGACAATATGTAGCTACAAAATGTTATTGTATTGCTAGGCATATCGAGAAACATATTATCTAAACTTACTTTTATTATTTTAATCCTTCTCAATTGGTTTGTCTAATTATTATATATGATAATATTTAGGAAAGATGCCTAAGAGGGATCCAGCCCTACCTTGCAGAAGAAAATATATTCATCGTTCCACTTGCTGTGCGTTTTCTTACAAGACGTGCTGCTACTGCAATGAAATATTTTATAAATTATATTATGAAATTAAAAATGACACAGATAAACAAAATCGTTTTAAATCAACAAGTAATATTAACCAGTTGCATCTTGAGGAGTAAGAGGTTTATCTATTACTTTCTGTATTACATTCATCCATTGTGTTCTATCATCATCATTTTGAGCGGACAAGAGATAACTTCTATCAGGTGTTTCAAGAGTAAAGGAAAAACCTTGGTTTCTAGCACCCAGCGGAACTCCTGTTTTAACTGCAAATCCTTCTGAACTATGACCCAAGAAAATTTCACCTTTTGGATGTGCATCCTTTATGTCAATAGAAAAAAATATTAAAGGAATATTTTCTGGCGATAAATGCACATGCACACATGTAAGTATGTGTACAAACCATAGGATCATCATGGTACATAAGTTTCCTTCCATCTAATGTAAACCATCTCTTTTTATAAGCATCGCTATGTCTAGGACCTGTCTTCCAAAGAAATCCTTCCCGTGGAAAATCTCTTGTAAGTTGTGATAATAATTCAGCCTCTGTTGCACCAGGATACGCAACTTGTAAACGATGTAATTTTGCACATCGTATAGCCAAATACCAATTGGTAATAACTTCTGGATCTTCGTGATATACATAGATATGTCTTGTAGTGCCATCTTTCATAAAAGATATTTGCAGACTATTTTGGTTACCAGTTTTAGCCGGGGCAAAGGCTACATTTAATTCTGATATCCTGAGTATAGCTTTTGGTTCCTTTATCAAACAAAAAAAAAGAAGAAAGATATTACTGAAAAAATATGCTCAAAATAATATTAAATGTTTTAAAAGAGATTATAATTATTCATTTAAATATACCTTATTTTCTTTAACATGATACTTTAAAGTATCCTCTGCTTCACAAAGAACAAATTTACGAGGATGATATCGCGAGTCTTCCTTTCCACGCTTCATTAAAAATCCTTCCATAAATCCTGATACATAATTCTGCCTTTCTGGATGACAGAATTCTTCCCTCTCATATTTTGCTCGTATCCATTGTTCTACCAAAACCCTGTTGATCAATGAAACAAATTTTTTTGCATTTATTTAAAAATATACTTTTACATTCAATAAATTGATAAATTGAAATAGGTGTGCTAATTCCAAAAATATCTAATCGTGGCACTTATGCTAAATTTCCTGTTTTGTGGTATGTAACCACTTCCTGCATTATAAGAAACAGATTATATAATATTATTCGCATTATTTGTTATTAAATTTTATTAATTCATTTTGGAAATATTGAATAATATTAAAGAAGAGAAAAGATCTAAAAGTAAATACTAAATAAATGTATTTATATATGTAAGACTTACTGAGGAGCATCCACATTTGGTTTACGGTAACAAGGTGGTACGCGCTCTTCATAATGTAATCTTGCAACTATATTACCTACTTCACGTATCCTATTTACTTGAGAGTCCTCCCATCTATCTAGTTTTAAATGTTTTACTTTTGAAATATGTGCACCCATAGACCTATGTACTCCAGCACACCTTGTGCAGACAAATATTCCTATATTGTAAGAAGCCCATTCTGGGTCTGAAATATATACACATTTTGTTTTATTTTATTAATATAATATTATTATTAACTCTGTATACAAAAATATATATACACACACACACCTACGCGCACTACGTTTGCAATAATTATTATAACATTCTAAAATAACTAAAGTACTCCAAAGTATTCTAAGTAATTAAAAAACTTTGACATAAGGATTTATACTTCAAAATTAGTAAAAAAAGAAAATGTCGATAAAATGTATTATTTAAAATTAAAATTATTCTCTTAGTTATGTCATTAAACAATTTATAATCATCAAGAATGATTGTGTTCCAAGAAACGTAACCACATTTTCTTTCAATAAAATACATTTATACGCGTTACTATTAAATAGATCTCGACAAGAATAAAAATATAAAATATTAATAATAATTTATTACACACAGAAAACACTCACTTTTAGCTCCACAATCCGCGCACACATTATTTCCAGGTTTTTTAAGTAATTCTACTAACAACTTCTCGTTCGAGTCCGCCATCTTAAAACAGTCGCTATACAACCGTTTTCAAGTAATATGTGTTTTTGTCTAACTATGCTTCAAAATATACCTTAAGACAAGTTCACATAAAAAAGGGCTACGACTTTTAATAAGCCGACTTAACATGAAATAATTAATTTCATACTCATGAAAAATGTCTACATGTCGGCGGTGTGATATTTTTAAAGAATATATGATTTGCAATTGAAAAAGATATCACAATTATTCCTCTTCTCGTCATATCATCTTTATTAGGTAAGTATACGATTAATAAAAAAGAACATTGATAGCTTTTTAATACTTTCGAATATATTAAAAAAAGAGATTTCTTAGGATAATATTTATGTATATTAAAATAAATCGTGAATTTTGTTGTTTGTGTCAAAACTGTAGACGAATTATTATTATTTTAATATTATTGTTAAAAAATATATTATTGTGTTTCTATACTGTGTTTTTTTTAAATTTCCCGACGAGGAACAAAAGCGCCGGTGTCGCCATTGGTTGCGTAGCGGCGTAAATTATAATCACACCGCCTGACAAATCGATATTCCTCTCAAATATTGACTTCGCGATTGTGCTTGGTGTCGCGAGCAAGTCGCGCAATAGCTGGTAATGTCCTTTTAAAAAAAATCCGAGATTTCGCGAGGGTGATAAAGCAAGAGGGACAACGAACAAATCGGTCGGAGGATCGAGACAATATAATATTCCATTTAGGAATATATTCTCGAAATAAACGATGATTATTGCACCGAGTGTTGTGTTTTTTGGGCTGACCCTACTAAGTGTCTCCCACGCTAGCATCGAGTCAACACCGAGTTCCTTCAACGATCATGGAGGTGATTTCATTTCTCTTTATTTCTCTCTCTCTCTCTCTCTTACTTTTTCGAACGTGTGTCCTACATTTAATCGTTCTTTCATAATGCTATATTTCAAAATATACATATATTTTTCCCAATAGATTTACGGATCTCTATCATTGACGTATTTTTTTTTTTTTTTAAATCTATTCACAATCGATCCTTCAAAATTATATTAAGAAGAATTAAAGGATTATTACTATAAGTGTGATACACCTTTACAGGTGCGATCTCTCCTGTTCATTTAGTCCCTCCCCTACATTCATCCATCTTTATTTCTATCTCTGTCTCTCTTGATCTTTCTCTTTTTTCTTCCTGTCTGTGTGTGTGTCTGTCTGTCTGTCCTATGTGACTGTCCGTCCTTCTGTTTGTCTGTCTATTTGTCTGTCTGTCTGTCTTATCTGTCTGACTATCTGTATGTCTATGCTGTATGTCTGTCTGTCTGTTTCTCTTTCTCTTTTCTCTCACTCTCTATAGCACCTGCATTCGCCCGAAACTGTTATGGCGAATTCATTGACCGGTCTCTCTCCTCGATAGGTGCTCCAATATATAAGCAATGCACCTCGCGCTGGGGCGGTCGATAGACCATGAAAAGGGGCGAAGAACGATCGTTCGTTGGAAGAAAGAAACGAATTAATTTTCCCCTACCCCCCACAGGTTTCTTTCATCCTCTCTCTCTTTCTCTCTCTCACTCATTCCCTATATTACAAATTTCGATGACGATGACACACACACACGACTCTACGGGCTTCTTCTTCCTGTTCTACGAATCATGTGTAACAAAATATATTTACCTATGTATATATATATATATATATATATATATATATGTATGTATATACATATATATAAGCGCGTGAATCAGGCCGAGCTTTAATTTTGTTCGGTTAAAAGAAATGAGAAAATTTCTAGTCGATTTAAAATTAGACAATTTCAAAAGAACTCCCGAGACCCGTTTCGGGATTTCTCAATAAAAACCTATTTCCTTTTTTCTTTTTGTTAGAGTTAGAGAAAAAGAAAGAAAGAAATAAAGAGAAAGAGAGAGAAAGAGAGAGATTTATGTTATACATGGTACATATACGTGTTACATATCTAGGATACTCACTGATAACCAACTATGTACTCCTTATCGATTTATATTTGCAGTTGTGTTGCATTGCGATAAACGATGCCTTTTAAAATTAGGGCGAAGAATTTTGTTTTTATCTATTCATTAATTTTCTTATTAAATTCGTTCCATGATATGATATCCGCATAGGTCTAACGAGAATTTTTTAATTACCCTTTCCCATACATATATTTATTTTAATATTAGATTACTTTGTTAATAATCCATGGTATTTTAATACGAGAAATTTTAATATTCAACATAAATAATGTATGCATGTTTATGATGAAGTTAAAAAAAAAAGAAAAAAAAAGAAGGGAGAATAGTTCCTAATATTTATTTTTTTTTTTTTTTTTTTCTTTTTTTTTTTTTTTTTTTACATTTATGTTCGTAGTTCCGCGATTGGATCTTGAAAGTCTCGAGAGCGGTTATCACGGCCTGGTCAAGGAGAATGAAACTCTCGTTGAGGTGACTCCACAGATAAGAGCATTAGGAGTTAAAGTTTGCTCTTTTCGTATTGCGAATAAACACCATGGCGAGGCACCTTTCGAAATTGTATTAAAAGAGAAGGGAATGGCCGAATTAAGAGCCCTTCGGGTTTTAAATTGTGAAAAACGACGTAATTACAAATTTGACATCGCAGCTGTTGGCTGTAACGGTGGACAATCTGAGAAGTATGTTTTACATATATATATACATATATACATATATATGTATAGTATATTATAATATATATATAGATATAAGTACTTCAGAGAAAACGTTTAGATAGAAACTAAGAGGAAATATTTCGATAGAACAAATATTGTTCTAACTCTTGAACGTTTGTTTAAGAAATGATGTTAAATATTTGGGTCGATAGATCGAGTTTCGCACGGCAAAATGCCAAAGTCATACACGTCTTTGCGCTATTATGCTGGAATTTATTGTTTAAAAAATAAGAATAAATATGATACTCTATTTGAATACAAATTTTTAATATATTGTAATTATTCGTTCAGATATATTATTATTATTATTATTATTATTTTTCTCTCGAAATTTTTCTCTTTAAAGATTTTTGTTTCTCTTTTCTTTAATCGCGTATTAATTTTTTTTTGCCTGATTAAGATAAAAATATAAAATCACGTCGATGTTATTTCAGTGCAACGGTTCATATCACAGTGGTAGATGTTAACGAATACGCGCCACAATTTCTGCAACCAGCTTACGTTAGCACTGTAGATGAAGGACGACTTTACGAGGAGGTCGTACGCGTCGAAGCGTCCGACAGAGATTGCACTCCGAAATTCGGGGACATATGCAAATACGAGATTCTAACAGCGGACCAGCCGTTCATTATTGACAATGAAGGTGCTATACGTAACACAGAGCCATTGGATTACGAGCGTTCCCACAATTACATTCTGAGCGTGGTAGCCTATGATTGTGGAATGAAACAATCAGCACCAGCCATGGTGACCATTAAGGTAAATCGAGTATGCACACCAGGCTGGAGAGGTATTCCAGAGAGAGTGGACTATGCTGCTGGTTCAGGATCTCAACCACTCTTACCATCTGCTAAATTGGACCTCTGTGATGCACCGTGCATATTGCGTAACATTCGAGCTACTTTGAATCTCGTGACCGATCACATTGGAAAGGGTTGCGATCGCGATACTTATACCGTACGGAGTCAACGAAAACTTTGCGGTGCATCTCACGATAGCGTAGATCTTTTACCAACACCAGGACCAGCTACATCATGGACCGCTTCTTTGTCCCGCGACGAGGGCAGGGATGCCGACGAAATTTTCGAATTCGACGGAGTCGATTCAGCCGCAATAATACCGAATAATGTACTCGAGCATTCTCTGGCACAAAAGTTCACTATCAGTGCATGGGTTAAACATCGTCCAAGGTTAAGGCAAGATCCTCACGTTAAGGAACATATTCTTTGTGCCGCTGACGATCATAGTAAGCATTCAAAGTTTTCTTTCTTTCTGTTCTGATTTTTTTTTTCTTCTTCTTCTTTTCTTTTTCTTTTTTTCTTTTTTTTTCTCTCTCTCTCTCTCTAAAAAATGGATGTTTCTCACTCGTGGATAATAATAACGCTATTGTTCTCTCGTGTTTCAGAGATGAACAGGCATCATTACGCTTTGTTCATAAGAAATTGTAGACTGATCTTGTTACTACGACGAGACTTCTCTGAAGGCGATCCAAACATCTTCCGTCCAGCTGAGTGGCGTTGGAAGCTCGGTCAAGTATGCGACGATAAGTGGCATCATTATGCCATACAAGTCGACTTCCCACGCGTAAGTCTTTTTGTCGATGGCGAGGAATGGCGTACGGATGAGAAGAACCCTGAGGTTATCGACGATTGGCCGTTACATCCCGCGAAAGGCGTCAACACGATGCTCGTTGTTGGAGCTTGTTGGCAGGGCTCGGATAATAGAACGAAACATCATTTTCGTGGTTATCTCGCCGGGCTATCGGTTCTCGTAGGTCGTAATGAAAAGCCTGACGTATTATCCTGTTTGAGGCGTTGTCAAGAGGGTTTACACGTACCGTCCATGGACCTACTTCAACCAGGTACACAGTTGCTTACCAATTCCGATTTAACGGAGGTACGCATAGACGGCGATAATCGTACGAACGTCGAGACTCTCCTTCGTCGTATAGGATATTCTAACACACGACGCTTTCCAACTCCCGGTCGTCGAAATTTCCGTCTCGATACTGCCGTCGTTTGCGCAGGTAGCGAAAATTCCGAACTGCCAGTACTTATCGTGCAATCTTACGTGACCGTTTTACCACCACCTCGACCTGGAATAAGCGTTAACGGTACCGGTTACGTAGCTAGGGAATACGCTGACTTTCGTTTGGGCGTTCGCGTTTTCCCCGATGCTCGTGTTACCGCTGGTTCCGCAGCGAGATTGGATGCATGCGCCGTCAGCGTTTATCCCAGTTTAAATCCCGACCACGAGAGCTTAGGTTTACCAGGCGATGCTCTTCGTAGATTCCATTCCATAAGCGCACGCGTAGATCGTGACGGCGTTGTTCTTTCCGGTGCTGACACACCTTACAATTATCAACAATTGATTCGACTGATCATGTATACGAATCGTAAGCCAGCTTATTATCTCGATCGCGTATTCAAACTTACTTGTTCCGAATTGAGCGGTCGTTTCGCTAGTAACGAATACGTCCAAACACTAGCCGTGATCCATCCGAAAGAAAAAACAACAGTATTGCCGCACAGTAGCTCGGGCGAACCGCCAATGGCCCGAATTGTTGAGCCTCTTCCCGGGCACATGCAAGAATCCCCTCATCACGCCGAAATACCGGAAGGTTACGCGACCAGCGTAATCCGCGAAGGTAGAAGAACGATGGGTGGGGGTGGTGGAGGTAGTCACGCAGTTACGATCGTTGCTGCTGCCTGCATCGGTTTCTTGCTATTAATGGCCGTCGTTGGGGCGGCTAGAGTTCGAGGTGCCGCGAAAAGGCGACGATCGGCTGGCGACGAATTGGCAGCCGAAACAGAAATGGCCTGGGACGATTCGGCTCTTGCCATAACGGTCAACCCGATGGATAGGCTGACCGAGCACGAATCTCATCAGAGCCATAGAGACGAGGACGTTGACGATTCCGGAAGTTCCGATTCCGATGATGGTTCCTTCAGAGACGAGGACATCGACAGCTCTGATTGTGACAATGATTGCGAACTTAACAACGGCCGACACCGTCGTCACAATTCGCCTCACGATTTGGAGTGGGATCATCGTGACGTTTAAATTACTATTAATCCCTCCTCTTAACTTTCGTCATCATCTTTATTCTTCAAGATGGTATCGTTAGACGAGTACCGACTGTCCGAAGGAACGCCAAAATTTCCTATATCTTTGAAAACCCCTCCATTCCTCGATGAACCATCTATGACGCTATACGCGATGCTTATGACGTTGCCTAAATCTTGACGTTTAATTTAAGACGACGATTACGAAGAATTAAATAACAAAACGTTGTTATTATCTTTCAAGTAACTTTCAAGGAAGTACATTTTTTGTGCATTACCTACTTACTTAGAAACTAACTAAATAACTAGGAACTTATATACGTCAACGATATAGACTGCGGTTATAGGCTCGCGAACTTTTGCGATTTGATAAAAGCGTCACATTGTATCCGTCCCCGTAGTTGGCATAATCGATCCATTGCAAGGCAATGACACACGGCAGTCAGTTAGTACTCTTCTTACGTACCAACGGAAATTGTAAGAGTGCGGGACGCTTTATCGAATAGTTAAAACTCTTTCTACCTATACACAATACGTCGAGCTGATGTATTTTTCTTGGTAGATAATTATTTACACGGGCACGCAAGAGATACTTAACAAACAAACAAAAAAAATAACAAAAATTTAAAAAAAAAAAAAAAAAGGATATGCATCGAGACTAATTCTCGGTGAACACTCGGTAAACACTCGCAGCAAATTAATTTATATATATATATACATATATATGTATACAAATTAGTAGTCGTAGGACAAGGGAAACTTTTTTTTATACTCCTTACTATTATCCTTTTATTCTATTCTATGATTACTATTTTATGGATTTATTAATTTTTTTTTTTTGTTCTTTTCTTTTTACTAACGTTACATATACATATAATACATCTTATATTATTATCCAATATTATATTAAATAATAATCAACTCTCTACAGGCAGTTATATTCTATTGGAGAACAGAAAAAAAGCGGTAATGAGATGCGTATTTTCTTCCTTTTATTAGATCCTTCGGTCTCTCTTTCTTTCTCCGTTACTATCTTCTCTATATATCTATTTCTATCTTTCACTATATAATCTATCCACAATTAAACGATATTTGATCTCACGAACGTATCCTCTCTTTATCTACGTAATAAAGTTTCTTCGAAAAATGCTTGGAAAAGAAATACACTATCTACTACCCTATTATACACACACATAACAGAGACACGCGCACACACGCACACATATATATATCGTAATAAAAAAAAAAAAAAAAAAAAAAAAAAAAAA